AGAGCCATTTGAAAACGGTGAAGGAGGGGATGTCAGCTTAGCATATCTGTAGCTTGAAATATGTGATCTGGTTCCATTAAAATTAATAGGGCAATTCACATACTTCAAGTTGCATTTGTGCTGAAGTGTCAGCAATTTACAAGATACTAGAGATGATAAAATTGGAAAGAAGATGCAAGATGAAAACAACACTGAAATGGCTTGATTCAGGTTGTGGTAATATATTTTTCTCTTCTTTATTGCTGTGTTCCACTGAGGTGCACTCACTTTTTCTCTTTAACTGCTTGTTAGTTTTCCTTTGTTATTTGCAGAAGCCTGGAAGAGCAAGAAACAATCCAAAGAAAGGCAGGAGAAAGAGAAAAATAATTTGTTCTTTTATTACAGCAAGGTCCAGAGGCCTTGCACAAGGTTGTGGTGGCAATGGGCTGCATTGTAGAGCATGTAGCAAAACAATCTGTGCCCCAAAGGGCTTCTAAAGTAATTTAAAAGGGAATATGGTATATATACATAACTAAAGAGAAGGAAGGTACCCCCAGAGAAGACCAGATGGTTGCACAAATGAGCTGTGTGCATAGCTTGATTGCTCTGAGTCTTTTTTTTTTTTTTTCTAAATGATTAGGAATAGTTATCAGTGCCTTCCACATCAGTGACAGCTCATTTGCAACTGAAGAATAAATTAATCGGCAAACCGAGAAGGAACATGGAAACTACAGAGGAAAGGGGAGAGGGATTGTCAGCAAACTGAAGAAGCCAGAAACGCAGACAAAGCAAGGAGCAAAAATTGTTGTAAAACTGGACATTGAACTTTAATATATTTATCAGAATGGAATTTTTGCTCTAAGTTCCTTGACCTTAAAAGGAAAAAAATACAATAGAATGGTGTTGGTTGTAAGCTAAAACCAATTTTTTCCACCTTTCTGTCTACAAAGGTGTTTTCTAAATATATCCCTGTTTTGTTTTTAGCGTAGGGCTTTGTCATGACCAGCTTCAAAACTCAGGAACAAGTAACATTGTCTAGGAGCTTTTGTGGCATAGAGTTCATAGCTGGGCCACATTTTTTATACAGCAGCTTGGAGCTATGTTCTTGCCTAGGGCATTCTAAACCGGAAGGAAGAAGACCTTTTTTTTTTTTTTTTTTTAAAAAAAGCTATAAAGGTAAATCTTTAGGCAAATGTCACAGTTGATGCCAGTGCTTCTCAAATAGTAGAAACCCAGAAGTGTTTGCCCTCCTTTCTTATCATGGAAGGCAGGTATGCAGATATTTGATTCAGTCTGGGTCAGCATGAGAAGAAATAGGTGGATGAAGCTGAAGAAAGGCTAAGGTAAACCGAATATAAAGGGGACGGCTCTTGTTGGTAAGGTGTTTTGCATTGGAAAACAGCGCACCAGAGGAAACGTTTATCTTTCATTCAGTGGAACATGGCATAGCACGCTTCGGAAGACCAACTTTAATCAGGAGATAGACACATAAGGGGCTCGTTTTTACTTCATGAAGGAACAAAGTACAGAAAAGTCCAGCCTAGTGGAGAGAGACTAGGCCCAGAGGTACAGCACTGCAGGGCACTCATATAGCTCTGACTAGCCTGGGTTTTGGGTTGTGTGCCTTGCTGCTTGCCCTTCTGGAGGTAACGCAGGGCCAGTTTGAGCACTTGTGCAGTACTGGCTGCATAGACATGTGTGAGGAGACCTTCTCCACCTCTGTCATTACAGACTCTCCGGTGATTCTCATTTGTTAACTCTCCGTACTGAGGTAGCGATAAGCAGATAAACAATAGGATAGAGTAAATAGATTACTAAACTTGCTAGCAGTTCCTCAAATTTGGATTTGAAAGACCGTCTGCTCAGGGGATTCTTAGCCATTGTAGAAACATAATACTCGGTGCCTACTGCTGTCTGGGGATCAGCATCTTTCAGTGACTGGCTGGTACTGGAGCACAGGGCAGATGAGAAAGCTTGAGTGATCTGGACTTAATATGAAAAGTGCATATCTGAACCCAGAATTTAATTTACTGGTTCTTTTTCTTGTAGTTTCTGACCTTTTCCTTAATGTGCTTGTGATGGATTGTTTTCTGATGGTTCTTACCCCCCCCTGGTTTTCAGATGGTGGGCAGGAGAATGGCAGAAATGTTCGACCACGTGTGGCCCAACAGGCCAGAAGAAGCGAACTGTTCTTTGCATCCAGACAGTGGGATCTGATGAGCAGGCGCTGGCTGTCACAGAGTGCCAGCACCTGCTTAAACCAAAGACCCATCTGTCATGCAACAGAGATGTCTTGTGCCCGTCTGACTGGACAGTGAGCAACTGGACTGAGGTAAATTTATGCCAACTGTAATACTGAACTTTTTTTTTCAAAATTACGTATTATAGTCAGCAGAGAGGAACAATGACCTACTTTTTTTTTTTTTTTTTAATTTGTTTGTTAACATGTCTTCACAAATCCTTTGTGCAGACGAAAAAACTCTACCCTGCTTGCTAAAGACCACAGCAAGTGTTGTGTGTTAACTGTTTCTAGGGGTTTGGCTTCCTGAGCTTTTGGGACTGTAGAACAGAGCATGCTTGCATGCTAAAAATCTGTGTAATACTCGTGACTTCTGTGGACCACTTCTGTGGGGAAGGCTCTGTGTCGTGTCTGTAGGCCTACAAAGAAGCATTTTTACATTTTTTACATTCATATCTCTTGCATTCATAACTGCTGTTTTTGCCACAGCATGCAAGCTTTTAACTTGTAGTATTAATTTGAAGCCCCAACAAACACTAGAATACCTGTGTATCCTTCAAGAGTTAATTAAATACTGTGCAGTTATTTCACTGGCAGCTGATGAACTGCAGAATGTGAGGTCATCAAAATGATGACTGCAGTATACTAAATTTGTTTAAATAAACTGCAACATATTCTGCAATGTTTGTTAGTATTATTAGGGAGCAGTCATTTGATGTGCTTTGTCATAGGTTTTAATCTGTGGAAGGACCTCATGCTTCTTAGCTTTCTTTAGATCAGGATGCTGGTATCTACAGGTGTTTCACAACTTCACTTTCCATTGGGGCAAGGAGAGTTCAGGGTCCCCAACATGTGGAGCAGTCTACTTCTCCATGAAAACTAAAAATGCACTAAGATATTTCGTCTGGAGTGAGGAAAAGTAGGTTTTGAGTCATGTGAAATTTTAAAATTATTTTATTCTGATTCTGTTGTAGTACAACGTGCTCATGGTTCACCTCACAAATAGGCAGTTTAGCTATCAGTGTAGCTGACAATCATGACAACAAATGCACCATAAATATTTTCCATTTCAGATGTCAATAAAAATTGTTTACTAAGTTTTTCAAAACTTCCAAGACCAAAGATCTGGATGCAGGAGTTGAATCCACCATTAGCAAGTTTGCTGATGATACCAAACTGGGAAGTGCTGTTGACTCTCTTGAGGGACAAGAGGCCTTGCAGAGGGATCTAGATAGATCAGAGCACTGGGCAATGATTAATGGGATGAAAATTAACAAGAACAAATGCTGGATTCTGCATGTGGGACAGAATAATGCCAGACATAAGTATAGATTGGGAGAGGAGTGGCTGGAGAGCAGCCCTGCAGAAAGATCCAGGGGTGCTGGTCGGCAGCAGCCTCAATGGGAGTCAGCAGTCTGCCCTGGCAGCCAGGAGGGACAACCGCATCCTGGGGCGCACCAAACACA